TGCAGTTATAACAGACAGCAAACACCAGTCCTCAAACACGACCACAGCAGAGGCATTTATATCGTGCTCCACATTATAATCTACACACTTACAAATCTGACTTGACTACTTAAAGACATGGGTAGCCAAGTAAACTGTCAGTACAGGTAAAAGTCTCTTCGTCAGTGATGGCACTCACAAAAACATCTGTAAATGCTAAATAGCCTACAGGCAGTCACCAAATTATAATTAGTCAGGGCCAGAGATTAAGAGATGCGGAGAAGGACAGAGGGTAAGTGCCTACTAATGCTTGGGATATTCTGGTTGCTGGAAGACTATGGAAGGAGAATGTCAGCATAATCTTTTTCACATGAAACTTCATATCAACACAACCTACATGACTCGCAAAATACAAGGTAAAATACCAACAACAGATTTCAACAGTATTTTCTTTATGCTTCCAGCTAATTTCAATGCCATGATGAAGCAGGGTCTGGAACTGAATGGTGGCAATTTCAGTAGCCATAATATCAACTGAAAGTGTGGCACAAACAATATACATAGACATCTACTTAAAACACACATCATGTGAGTCTATCCTAGAATCCAAATCTCCATAACTCCTAGCCAGAAAAAAAAAAAGTTCAACCTTGAACTGGAATGGTATTTCTGCAACAACTGAACTGCTGTCGTAAAATTGTTCTCAGTTGTACTTCAAACTTGCCACATGGACTAATCGGCAGTTAGAAGCAGCTGCAACACCATGTTCTGTGCACTTCTGTTGCCATTTTAATTTTTAAAAAGCAAATGGAGAGGCTCTCCACAAAATTCAATGCAGCAATAGCAATGACTGAACCTGAATCACAAAATTATGACCAGTTCACTAAATTGTCTATTAGGAGCACATATCAAGAGGCTGCAGAACAAATTGTGTGCCTGAAATAACAGATCAATGAATGAAGAATAAAGAGATGTAAGAAGTAGAGACGTTGACAAACCATTGTAATTTCTGAAGAATCAATTTCCATACAGCCAGAGTAATGTCAGAACATCACAGATAGTGTATTCATGACGTTTAACAGAAAAAAAATCATGGATTACCAAATGGAAATTTATTAAAGCTCCAAAAAAGAGCGAATGATACTGTAACGTAAGTCCAGGAAGTTCATGTACCTCTTGAAACTACTAAAACGCAATAAGAATAAGAGCAGCCCACAATATATACACATAGAGAAAAAAAAATCAAGAAACCCTGCCCTGGGCAGGATGGGTATTTCCTTTCAAAATTAGAAAACCTGCATACAACAATGGAAGCACTGAATACATAAAACACTTTTGTATGATGATACAAGTCTGGCTACATAGATGTTCAGCCACAAATATATACAAGAGAGGTCTTAAAGCCAAAGGATGATGTCTCAACGCAAAGGTCAGCTTTTACTACATCACCTTATGAATTATACGAGCTGCTCCTTCTTAAGCTATCCCAGTTTGCTGAACATATCTTGTCCTAGATGAGAAAATGCCTAATCAGAGGGTAATATACTACTTCTGTGCTACTTAACATTTACATCAGTGACCCACCAGTCTATGGCACAAAAGAATACTTTATCTATGTGAACAAATGCCAAGGGTCTTGCCAGTCAGTGTCCTCTGCATTCTCAGATAACTCTACAGTGCCAAAACCAGACAATGGAGCATTTATAAATTTGTGGCTGGTTGGAAGAACTGTGTTGTATCAAGTACCTAGCAGACAACAGAGTGATATACAGAAGAGTTTCTTTTTTTTTCTGTGAAAACACAAACCAGATAAACAATTTAGAACAATTCACCCTCTCAGATGCCTGATTCCAAACCTTCCTTTCCTTTTAGGCCCAAAATATAAACAAAGCACATTTTCAAAGACCTCTCAAGAGAATTACTTTAACTAAGGCAAAATGCAACAGGCAGATCACAGATGTGAGACAATCAGTCCATAAACACACCCCACCACCTTCCAGTTAACCCCAAACCACAAAAAGTATTTCTGAAATACTATGGGCTGAAGCTGTGGCACTCGCTGTTCAGATGCACAGAAAGAGGAACTTGATGATGTTGGCTAACACACAGAAGAAGGTGTGGTGGCACAGAAACCCGCCTGGAGACATACTAATCTCGATGGCTCTGCATTGTCCAACTCATCTATTTGGGAAGTGGGGATATCTGAACAATACAAGCACACACAAAGGTCTGCACACACAGACCTCGGAATAGGTGTCAACTTCCTGTGTGTCAAGTAACTCAGAAAATGCAACAGACTGGGCAATAGCAGTTTAGAAAAACATACAGCTGAGGTGAAAGGTTGCAAGAAACAGCAGCAGTAGCCACCGTCCTCTCCTGCCCTGACACAGGTCTTGCAGGAACAAGGAAGAGAAGGAGAAGGTAGAAAGCAAGGTTGTTCAATCCCTGTAAGAAAGCTCTGGCCGAACAAAGCAGTGCTCAACAGCTGGGCAGCTCCAACACATCAACCTCAGAGCCCAGGCTGTCCCCTTGATGAAATGGAGGGGCTGAGCTGGCCATGGAGAACAGGACCACCACTCAGCAGAGGCCAGGCAGGGTCAACAGGAGCTTTTCATCACAGTTTCACAAGCAGAAAGGCTGTCTCCATCACAAAGCCTCTTTAGGAGCTACAGCAAGGATTTGGGTGGCAGACTAATCCACATTATCTGTCCTGTTATTCACAGCACTCTGACCCATAGTGGCTTTTCATTTTACCCGAATGAGTAAGTGTAGTGGTACACTGGAAGACTGGCGCGGACTGTAGGTACGCTCAAGTGACTTGCATCTGAGGTGTTGGAAAACACACACACATCACACCAGATGACTGTTGGGCAGGTAACAGAAGCCAGGGATAGATGCGGGGGCATCTCTCACATCCCTGCCCTGAAAAGCTGTTGTGTGAGTCCTGGGAACTCAGACAGAGCAGCAAGCGAACACAACACAGCAGTGGGATAAATACCCCAGGTTTTCTAGCAATGAGAGATCTCCTTGTGCCTGCACTGCTACTTGTCGAGCTGCTCGTGAGATCACTGCCTGCGTGCCTCATCTGGAGGCTGCTGGAAAGATTCCTCAGATTCTCAGGCAGAGACAATAAATCTACTCTCTGCATTTCAGCCATGGTTTGTGGTTGTCTCTGCATCCTGCTTGTTTCAGCCCACACAACAAGTAAAGCCCACACCACTGAAAATCCACTATGGTTTACCTAAGAACCGGGATCACATGAGCAGTCATTCACAAAAGAACAGAAATTCCTTGTAACACAACGATGCATGTGCATTTAAACGGAGGCTTCCATGTGTAAAAATACAGCACTGCACAGCCCTGTGGTGTTACACCACACACACGTGAATCTCCCTCCTCCCTTCCTTTCCTGGTGTGCTGCTCTCCACCAAACCTCTCATTTCTACTTCCTGCAGCCTGACAGTATCTCAGCTGATGCTGGTTGGGAACTCTTGGACCAGACCTTCCTCTAAGCCATGCCAGTTAAGGATGGGTGGAGTGCTGTTGCTGTTAAGATGGGCAGAGGCTTCTGCCACACGCTCCTTTGAGCCTGCATGCTCAGTGCCCACAAAAGTTCCCAGAGCCCATCCTGCCCTACCGACAAAAGGTCATGTTATTAGGTATTTCCTCAGTTTTAACAAATGTGTTCTTGGCAGCATGAGAAACTATATGAAACCATTTAGTGATAAGTATACACTTATTTACCCACCTGAGAAACTCAACTGAGATGCTTTATACTATTTACTTTGCAACAGTGTAGGACTGGCTGTCACTTCAGGCACTTCGTTTTTACTCTTTAGCTCACAACTGTACATGCTTGGAGGGCACAAGAAGCTGAGAGGGGAAACAGCCAGCACACCTGACTCCAACTCCATACAATACGGCATCACACTCAGCAATAAAAGCTCAGGGAAAGGAGGAGAAAGAAGAGGAGTGAGTGAGTGGCTGGGTGGAGCCTGAATTGTTAAACCACGACAACAAGAAAGTTTAAAAGACAAAATATCTAAACGTGCAAAATCAAACGTATCTAAGAGTAGTCTGAATTAACATCACTGAAGAGTAAGTGGGGAATAAATGTTTTTTATGCTTGCTAAAACAATAACGCTAATGAAAGTAGACAAGGCATGAGGCAAAGGCAGCTCCTGAAAGACATTTCATAATGATTCCAAGGAAACCACCGGCAGTGTTGTATGTTCTCAAAGAAAAAGGCCCTAGTTTGTGCACATAATGATGCATCTCCTTTCTCCAGCACGCTGAAGCTATTCTTTCTGTTGGGTAGGGGAGGTTGTGACAGTGCAAGGATGACATCAGCACACGTTGCTTTGCCTCCACTGAGGTCACACACTTCTCAAGTCAATGCTCTGACTCCTAAAGCACGACGATAAGCATGGCACTGAAGTCATTTTCACCCAGGAAAGGAAGCATGCTAAGTTGCTTCGACACCCAAAACATCCCTAGAAGAAGTCTGGGAAGTACCAGTAGCATTCAAATATCTTATATATCAATAAATATTTAATCAATTGATCATCAGAATTTTGCTTAATCAATTTAGTGGCTGCTGAAATCTCCTGGTAACGTGACAAACCCAGCAAATAGCACATTCATCTTCTGCTGGAAGATAAAATACCAGTTTTATAGCCAGGGCTTCGCTTTGAGGAGAAGTTAAAGAAAATCCTGCACTGCATAATACTCTCTACTTTGTGTGATCAGGATGATACTCTATTCTGAACACATTCTAAAGTCAAACTGTAGTCTAAATCTCATCTTAAGCTATACTACTAATATATTGTATACTGGAAATTACTGTTAGAGCATTAACAGGCAACAAATCCTGAAATACCTTTTGTTAAATGACTTCAGCCTCACTAAATCCTTCTTGATACAGATATAGAATTAGAACTATCATTTCTACAGAAAAACACAACAACAAACACAGTACAGGAATACATATAAGCATTCATATATGCGCACAATTAATATACCTCTCCAAGAGCTTCATACCGCTTTTGGTTCCATCTATGCAAGTCTTCACGATAATTAAAAACAAATGGCTCCCCAGTTTTTATGTGTCTCAACTGCCCCTCTGTAAAAGAAATAAAATCATTACATTTTAATACAGTACTTCATTAAAAGTAACACACATTTCATTGTTGAAAATTTTAAAAGTAGCACATCAAAAGACTGGGCTACTGTGAATTTCTTCTCCTTTGGTTATAGTATTTTTGAAGGAAAGCAACTGTAACACAACAAAATCCACTCCCTTGGATGGCATACACTGCTAAATAAAGCTCAACACAAGTGATGACAGAAATTACGTGCATATATTAAATGTCAAGCTGCTTTGCAAGTTTGCTATGGATTTACACTGAAAGGTAAACATTAGCAGCTAATATTTGATCTGTACTGTCAATTAGATGATCAAATGGTAGCCACAAATCCCGTACTTCAAAATCAACTGCATTTATGAAGAAATCTGAGTACAAAATCGTGCTAGAGACTGGAAGTTGTCCTTGTTTATAGCTAAAGATTGGCAGCACACCCAACCACAGATGAAGACACAGACTGAGTTAAAATAAAAATAATAATAAAATGGTAATCAAATAAGATGTAAATTGCAGAAAACATATCCCACCTTCATTTCATGAGATAAAGCCCTAGTTATGTCTGTCTCAGAGCATCACATTGCTCCCAGCTTCAACAGGTGAACTCTTCACTGGATTAAACTGGCTGGATGTCTGGGCCCAACAAGTGGTGGTGAATGGAGTCAAACCCAGATGGTGGCCAATCACAACTGGTGTCCCCCACGGTTCAGATTTGGGGCCAATTCTGTCTAAAATCTTTACTGGTGATCTGGGTGAGCAAACTGAGTGCTCCCTCATTAAGTTTGCAGTTCACACCAAACTGAGTCGGGTGTTGATGTGCTGGAGGGCAGGAGTCTCTGCAGAGGGACCTGGCCAGGCTGGATCCATGGCCGAGGCCAGTTGTGTGAGGCTCAAGGAGGCCGAGAGCTGGGTCCTGCCCTCGGGTCACACCAGCCCCCGGCAGTGCTGCAGGCCTGGGGAGGAGCGGCTGGAGAGTGCCCGGTGGGAAAGGACCTGGGGGGCTGGTGCCTGGGGCTCTGGTGGACACCCGTCTGGAGATGAGCCAGCAGTGTGCCCAGGTGGCCAAGAGGGCCAGCGGCATCCTGGCCTGGGTCAGGAGTTGTGTGGCCAGCAGGACCAGGGCAGGGATTGTCCCCTGTGCTCGGCACTGGAGAGGCTGCACCTCAAGTCCTAAGTTTGGTTTTGGCCCCCTCACAACAAGAAAGACCTTCAGGAGCTGAAGCGTGTCCAGAGCAGGGCAACAGAGCTGGGGCAGGGTCTGGAGACCAAGTGTGGGGAGGAGCGGCCGAGGGATCTGGGGCTGTTCCGCTGGAGAAGAGGAGGCTGAGGGGAGACCTTCTCGCTCTCTGCAGCTCCCTGGCAGAAGGGGGCAGCCAAGGTGGTCGGGCCTTCTCCCAAGGAACAAGCGATGGGACAAGAGGAAATGGCCTCAAGTGGTGCCAGGGGAGCTGTAGGTTGGACATTAGGAAAAATGTCTTTACTGAAAGAGTGATGAAACCCTGGCAGAGGCTTCCCAGAGCAGTGGTGGAGTCACCACACCTGGAGGTGTTAAAAAAACGTGCAGATGTGGCACTTGGGGACATGGTTTAGCGGTCATGATGGTGTTTGGTTGAAAGCTGGACTTGATGTTAGAGGTCTTTTCCAACCATAATGATTATATGATCTTCTATGATCTACGATCTTCTAAAATTGCAGTATATCAGAGAAACATTAAAAACAGGATATAAGTATGTCAGAAAGTTGCAATATCTGCATAATGAAAGTAAGGTTTCTCAGCTAAATGGTTCCTCTTGAATAATAGGAAGTTAACAACTTAGTTCACGCCTTTTCAGGACCTTTACATTTTGACTCTTGATGTTTTAAATAAAATATTTACAATCTGATATCTCTAATCCCTGTGGTTATTTGCCTGTTTGACATTTATTTCCAGACCTGTCTTACTTCAGGTACTAGGCACTAGGGAAATATTTCTCCCAAACTTCACACAACTTCAGTTAGCTCAGTGGTTTGAGCGCGGTCCTGGCAACAAGGACCAACATCGAGGTTGCGGGTTCGATTCCTGCTCAGTCCCCATGTGTTGCCTGGTCTAGTCGAGAGGTGGCGTCCCGGCCCATAACAGGGAGGTTGGATTAAAATGATCTCTAAGGTCCCTTCCAACCTAGGCCATTCTGTGATTCTGTGATTCATATCCCTGTCTCAGGTCCTAATATCTTTCTTCTTGTATTCTGATCGTAAGTCTACATTCAGCTGCTCCTTCTCAGCTAGTTACTTTTCAAGTATGACATTCAGCACAAAGTTGCTCACCACACAAGTAGAGTGGAGCAAATAACTCCTGGCTTTCCGGAACTCTTGTCCTCTTCAGAACCTTCAAATCTGACAAAAGTCTTCCTTATTTTTTCCATCACAAAAAAAATTACGATTACTACGTAAGAGTACATTGTGGACCATTCAAATTCAATGTACAAAAGTAAAAACGAGACCTTTTTGTTTTGCTGACCAGTAGCACATGTAATAGGTATTCCTGCATCCTATGGAAATCACTCAGCCTGTGAGGATAGTGATGGAATATTCAGTAATATCATTCTAAAACATCATCCCCCAAAATTCAAATTTCAGCCCTTTTTATCAACCACATATGAACCATTAACTCTGAAGTGAGTAAAGAAGACAGTAGACACTGCGCAGATCTAAAAATAAGGAGCTGAAAAGTGACAGAGCTGAACCCCTCCCATCAAAGAAAGAGCATCACTTTCATGACACTTTTAGTCTCTAAGTACCTTCCTGTGAAAGCCATCAGGGTATTAAAAAGCTAAGTGTTGCATAAATGACTATCATTTAAAGGACAGCTCTTTTTTTTCTTTAAAAGTGGAAGATGTAAGACAGGCAGATTTAGAAACTAAAGTTCCTCTGTTCGCAGAACAGGCACTGCAAAGAAGTAGAATTGTAAACGTCCCCATTTGTCCTAGAGGTTTCAAACAATCTTGAAAGAGCCATTTCAGGGAGCCTGGTATTACTTCAGCTCAGAGGCTTATTTCTCAGCTGGATTTTAAAATGTATGCACTGAAAATTGTAAATATTACTAACTCATCTAACACACAGATTCAGCTAGCTGGCAGTACTTGTAGTGATCACAGACTTAGATGTTATCCAAACCCACGATCCACACCAGAAAAGTAAAACACAGTCTACACCACATTGCTCATTTTTCTGTCAGTATAAACAGGTGGTTTCCTGTTGGTATTAATGAAATAGCTAGGACAAATTGCTGTCTAAGTAATAACCTCTTTTGCATCCATAAAAATGAATCAGTAAATGAAACATTTCTTAAATGACTGACCACTCTTTAATTTTGCTTTTTGATGCTAATGCTAGAGAAATTACTTCCAGAATTTTGGTATCAACTCTTCTGTAACAGAAAACAGAAAGTCATAAAGTATGCACGGTACGAACCTACAGTATTGTATGGAATGAGGGATTTTTGTGACGATTTTATGAAATAAATGAAATATTACTCTAGCTAGATTTACCAGTCTGTTAATACTAAAGCTAAAAATTTTATTCTTAACAGAAAAGTGTTTAATTCTAACAGAGACTTATAAGGTATAATTAAAGTTCTGATAACCTCTCAACATTATTCGAAGTATAGCCTTTACAAAGCATATATGACTTACTTTCATTAAACATGTACTCAAATCCTTCCAGAGTATCAGGAAATTCAAGTGGTGGCTCATCTTTTTTCATTAGTTCATCCAAGTCTATTCTAGACAATAAATCTAAAAAAGGAAAAGAAAAATTACATAATGCATGTCATGTCTTTTTCATTTCACTATTATCACTGACAAAATGTGTTTGTTCAGATTGGCAGATCTTAAGGGTGGAAGGACATCCTACATCCTACTAAACACAGGACGTCACTATAGAAAATCTTGTTCCAGATTAAAAAACTGGGCCTCACTGTCAGTATATCTTCCTCTTTACTTATTTACCCCTCTCTAACGTTGATCAAAAAACGTCCAGGGACAGAGAAGCCACTAAAGACATAATGATTTGTTTCAATGATTCATTACCCTTAATGTTAGAAATACACTTCCCGTGCGCACCATGGTTTTAACATGAACTTCATCTAGCTTAGGTAGCAAGCCATGCATACATCCTTGTTTGCCTTTCTGAAGGGCTCATATTATCAAAGGCACATCATCTCACAGTCGTTTTACCAGTTGTGTGATCACACCACTTTCTAATCTTCCCTTTGATAGTCAAATAGGCTGAGTTATCCAAATTCTCCACTCAACCACCCTCCTTTAATTACTCTTAAGGTAAAGAAAGTTGCCATTACCTCTTTTAAACCAAGACGTGACATACACATCCTTTTCAGACTAGGATGGAATAATCTAGTACAGCTTGCACTCACTTATGCAACTACACTAAAACAAGTAGAGCCTGCATTCTTTACTCTATGTTTAAGGATTTACATTTAATCAGAGGCAAGCATACCGGGACATATTGTGCTTACATCTAAGTACTAAACAATTACTACATACACAGATAATAGTGTACAATCATCTCTCCACATTGCTCATCACCCACACAGCCTAATGCTGTCCTTCTAACACACCGCCTGATCAATAATAAAAAAAATTCATTAAGAGATGATTCAGCAGCATTCCACTGAAATAAATTTCCTTGCTTCCTCATAGATGAATTTGAAGACCACACAAATACTCAGCTCAGGAGTGCTACATTAACTTTGATCTGCTACTGTTTCAAAAATCGTAGTACCACGTATTACCAAGGAAATGCGGTAAGTATTCTGAAGTATATTGTTTTATTACCTTTACCACCCAATGTTGTAGCTCAAAGGAAAGAAAAAGGTTTGAAAAGACTAATGTTCTTCAAACTTGCTTTGTTCGACATTAACTATGCTTTCATTCCTTAATTATTTTAAATCCTTATTTGGATAGAGGTTTTGTACAGCTACTCTTCTTAGTCCTGCTGCCAGTAACAAGCTTATAAGTTATCTGTGTTACCTAAGCTCAGTACTGGCACATCAACTCTTTCTACAGTGTTTAAAATGTCCTGAAAATTAGCTTCAATGTTCTCAGCTTGCTCTTGTGTAACTCTTCAGGTTCATGACATTCACTACAGTGTCCACAAGATTGTTTCCAGCTCCTCCTTCTCCAAGTGATCTCATTAGGTAGGGCTGGAGTACCAAAGTGCAGCTTGTATGGCCACTGAAATTCAACATCTCTCCAAGAGATGCTATGGTGCTCGAGCATCTCTGAGGTATCTAAATACCCATACAAGATCATATGTGGACTGGAAGACTTCTAAATGTGGCTTTCTCAGCCACAGCTTACTTCTACATCAAACCTGCTTAACAGCAAGTCCCATGACATCCAATTCACATCAGCAATCATACACCTGTTCTTGTGCATTGTCCCTCAGAAGTTCAGGGAGAACTGCCTTGGTTCTCACCCAAATGACAGGAGAAAGAACAGACCTTTCTCAAAGAAGTTTTTAACACCAGGATGCAAAAAGCATGCCTCTTTTTCCTCTGCACTTTTACAACATGAAGGTAATAAAACAGTCTTTAGCACACCTTTCCCTCCTTGGGAGAGACCCGGGGCCACATCACACCTTTAGAATGTAATTCAACCTGAGTTTTCCCATCTTTTAACTGTGACCTAGTAGGAAATATGTTTACACAGAAGTGTCAGTTACCATATAGTAAAATCATAGAATCACAGAATGTTGGGGGTTGGAAGGGACCTCAGGAGATGACCCAGTCCAACTCCCCTGCCAGAGCAGGGTCACCCAGGGCAGCCACACAGGAACGCGTCCAGGCGGGGTTTGAAATTCTCCAGAGCAGGAGACTCCACACCCTCTCTGGGCAGCCTGGGCCAGGGCTCCGGTACCCCCACAGGGAAGAAGTTCCTCCTCATGTTTAGGTTGAACCTCCTGTTTTCCAGTTTGTGACCATTGCCTCTTGTCCTGTCACTGGACACCCCTGAGAAGAGTCTGGTCCCATTCTCTTGACACCCGACTTCCAGATAAGCCTCCTCTTCTATAAAGAGACATCCACCTCCCAAGTAACAAAAGCCATGTTATCTGAACGACATGAAGTTCATCTGCAGCATTTACAGCTTGTCATGATTTACAGCTTTCACTAGAGTCACTCAGGAACCCCGCAGCTGGGCTGTGCTCCAACCACCAACACGGCCACTCTCCTCCCATGCAATTTTTCAATCTAACATTAGCTAAAGCATTCTTAAAACTTTATAGAGATTCTCGCCTAAGATCTTGGACTCTCCAACTCCAAGACTAGTTCAACAGAGCCTGAAGGAGTGATCTATAGGAGACCTTCTGCAGCTCAACCAGAGGTCACAAGATCACATAAAGAAAACAACATCCTCCCAGAAAATATTCGTACTACTTGGACACTAATCCCTAAGGAAGATCAAATTAATGTCAAGTATAAAATGGGGGTTTTACTTTTCCAAGCATGAAGTACAATTCCCTCAAAATACACTAAGTTGACCGAATTAGTGCAAGGTTCGAAAAAAGCACCACACACATTTTCACCAAACGTTTCACAAAAACACAACTGTAAAATCATCTATGAACACTGCGTAATAGAATATATATTTCTAATAATATTTTGGTTGAAACCAAGTTTTTACTCTGAAGTTGCAAGATATATTCTTTTTTCTCTTTCAGACAATTTGGAGAGTATATGTGTAAGGGAAGCACTTTAAATTCAATGTTTGGTTAGCTTATTTCTAGGCCTAACCAACTCCATCTATTTCCAAAATCGAAAAACACTATCTGAAAGATATCATTTATTTAATTTAATTTTTCCTCAAGAAAATTACTCCGCTAAATCACTTAGGCCCATTTATTTTTTTAAAGCACACAACGCGAAGAAAATTTTAGTAAATCAACATGGAAATCAATGTCTTGAAAATGTTTTCCCTGCTAACACTCTAGTCAAAGACATTTTCAAAAGTTGTTATCTGGTTGCATAGCTATAAAATGTAATTGGCATAAAAATTAAGTGAAAACTCCCAGAAGAACACAAAAGCATCTGCCAACTTTCTCAAAGGATAATTTTATCCTGTTACTCCATACCATGGGTAGTTATTTTTTGTATCATCTTAGGAAAATACAGATAATGGACACACTGTTACACAAAAAGCATTAGCACAGATGGACTAACCGTTTCCTCCAGCGTTTCAGCTCCCAGACTGTACACCATACTTATATCAAACTATCTTCCTTTCCTTAATAATTGTTTCTGAAGTGTAAATATATGGGAAAAGAAGGCAAAAAGACTCATACCCTTTAACGCGGTAGTCTTCTCTTTTTCCTCTGGGCCTCCTTGCTGGAGCTGAGCCATCATTACCCAAACTGTCAAGAGATTTAAAATACTGAGGTAAATGCACATTACTCTTCGAAGGACAATCTGAAAATCAACAAGAGTTGGAAATCAACAAATTTATTGACTTCTACTTCATTATTTGCTACTACTTACATCACAAAAAAAAAGAGAACTTGTTCCAAAAGCAAAACTCCCCTGAGAATTATAAATTCCTATAATATGTAAGGAAATACTAACTTTTTTCTCACCTTCAAAACCCACACAGAGCACTCTGAAGTCTCACTATCCCGGATAACAATGTTTTATAACAGCGTGACACACATTCCAATATCAAGTTTGGTCAAAGAGTCAAGTTCACAGGAATGAACACTTAACTTCTCCTTAATCCTAAAAGGGCATCTATCTTATCAATACGTCTTTTTTCTGATTCTTATGTAACACGAGTAAATAAGAAGCCTTTTGGAGAAGCATCACACTTCTAAGTTCAAAGCAGAAGATACAAGAAAAATCAAAATATAATCAACGGAACTTCCGCAACCTTTGTCTTCATCAGCTAACTCCATTGTTTTTACTATGCTATACAGTTCTGTTTTCACAAAACTACACAGAACCAAGAGTTCTAAACCACTGTGATTTCTACAATACATTTTCAGCATTGAAATGTACAGAGTAAATGTCCAGCTACAGAACAAACCCAAATATACTTCTAAGTTTCTCCTATCACACTGAAGGCAACACAGACATTCAAATCTGCAACCTGTTTCATCTTGAATTTGGCACCAAGGGCGCAAACTACCATATCACAATCATCGCTTCCTCCTTCTCAATAAAAAGACTTCTGTGCATTGAATTCTTTTTGCCCTTCATCTTTTTTTCATTCTTTGTTTTATCTGTCAGTCATCAGCAGTTTGTTTTATTCTTCTCACTAACATAGTTTATCATAGATGAGTTCGCATGAACTGCATCTGTAACTGCCATTTGTGACTTTCAAATGAAGACTAACAGGATTCGCCAACTGTACTACTTACACATCTAAGAAAGAACCCCAAAATGGTTGAATTAATAGTAGTTCATTGTAATGGAAGCATAAAAAATTTAAAAATAAAGCATAATAAAGAATACTTTTCTACTGCCTTTAGAGAAAAACTATTACACGAAGCATTTTCTTGTATATCAAATAAAAGCACAGCAATTTAAGGGGGTGATAGTCATTATCTAAGGAGAGGGTTTGGGAGGCAGGTCTTATTTGTTTGCTTTTTTAAGCCAAGGTTCAAGGAAGTCCAATAACCCACTCTTGTTGGACCGATGGGAGACACTGGACCAATGGGGGTTGGACCAATGGGAGACACTGACACCTTCCTTTGCAAAATGGCGTTCAGATTAAGCTGATGGGAAATGGCGGCACAATGCTTGACATCATCTGAAGATACAACTCCACCACGAAAGCTCTGCTTAGATCACACACTTTTTAAATTACGACACAGCTCAAGATGATTCAGCTAAAATGTGAATCTTTTGGCTAATGCTTTAATCATGTCAGCACCCCTAACAAAAGTAATCAACAAAAATAACAGAAGATCACGGAGACATTTTTGTATTTTCTAGGATCTAACAGAGACAATGGAAATATTAAAATTACTCAAATGTCACATTACACATGTGGATGGTATTAAAGACTCTTTTCAGATGCTTTCAGATAGTCCACTGATTAAAGATCACAAAACCCAAAACCCTGTCCATCATCAGTTCGTGCATTTGCAGCACAAGACCACGTACAATCTAGGAAATCATTTAGAAAAGAAACTAACCCATTCTAGTTGAAATTGTAAGTGCTATAAAATGACAGTGATAGTGCTTTGTCATAGCCCAGATGAAAATTATTCTAGCCATGACAGTTGGGTAGTCCTCCCTATACAACATTTGAAAATTTGTAATTGGGTACAGTTAATGCAGTTACAAAATACATACAGATGCTCAAAGACTTGTTACTATCCAGGGGAAGAAACATAAAATGTATCCAAGCAGATTTACCTTGGTAAAGTATCCCTATCTCCTAATCAGATAAATCAATCCAGAGACCAAGAATCCCTGGCATTCTTGTCTCCACAACAGACACCTTTCTTCTTCTTTAAACAGATGAAGACCCTGCCACTGAGGAAAGAGTAGATAACAGGCTCACCTGCCAAGCTGGAAGCATGAAAATAAATAAATAAATAAATAAAGCTGAATTTAGCTTTGAGAGAGAATCTCCAGTTCTTTTGACAAAGTAAAAAACTGTAACAGCAGCCACTGGAGGGAGGACTTGATATTAGAATGAGGATGAAACAAGCACACAGTATTTTATGCATTGTTTGTGTGAACACAGCATTTTGTTGAATCCCTCAATTATAGCTGTTTAAATGACAAATAGAAGAAATTAGATGAGAGGGTTGGATTTCCTTTCGTTGACAGACAGGTGTCAACTATAATCAACTACAGTCTGATGGTGCAAAAATGAACAGTGGGAAAATTACAAACCTCTCTGAGTGGTAGCTTATAGGCAAATACAGGAATTGCAGTTTATTATTGGGATCATTTTCAAGCCCCACTGATCTTCAGCTGCACACACTGACCACTCCATGTAAGTCACAAACACCATCATCGAGTTTCTCATAACTACAGATTATTTTAGTGTTTTTCTGTATAACTACTTACATGATTCTTTTAAAAAACATCTTTTCTGTGACTGTTTTTTGCATTTGCTAGAGAAAGCATACTTCCTAAAGAACAACTTACAGATTCACCTGAAGAAAGGCTTAACAGTAAATGTTTATTGCCAATAGAATGTATACTTATTTGTATGTATCTTGCCTTCCCAGGCAAATTTAAGTATTCTATCACAAAATATCTTACCGTGTACTCTGTGCCTCTTTAACTCAATGCTCAGTAATACTTAGAAAAGATTTGACTGCAGAAATACTCTGTTTTCATGGTTCCATGTGAGACAAGAAGGCTGCATTTTCATCATACCGCACTTAATCCACTACAGAACTGGCCGATTTACAAACAAACGGTCATTAAATTAAAAACGAAACAGGAAAAAACACTAAAAAACCCAACTCCCTGCAAAAACAAACAACCCAACAGACTTCTGCACACTAAAAAGAATATACATACACATTTCACAGTTTTGCCTGCAGTATGATACCAGAAGTTCAGATCACTGATTGCATACCAGTGCTAGTCTTCAAATCAAACTAGACACCAGATCATATATTCCAACTCTGAAACTAAGGCATATATACACAGACTTCAAGCATTCTTCATCGTGTAACCTTGGCTGGAAATGTGGGAAGAAAAAAATATATAATTTTGCTCTACATGAGCAATATCTGAAATCAAGTCAACGACTATACGTAATTGCGATGCTACCCTACTACCAGTGCAACTGATACACAAGTATTTTCAAACAGCACAAGTCCACTGAGTTCATCTGGACATAGTCTGAACAGAAGTCGTGAGAATGCTGCTTTATATTGCACTGCTTTATTAGAACACAGCTGAATTAGTTTTGTTCTCTGTAAACTGACAAGCGAGCTATGGACGAGAACAGGTTAGATTTGTGCCATGTGGCTGATGACTAAGAACCAGTTTTTCTTCAAAGAGATGGCTGGGTGATAGTTTGGCTCCAGTCTCTTCTCTGTATTGGCTCAACAAAGCAAAAAATACATACTTTAATCTCAGTAGTATTTTCTGTCCAATTAGATTTTATCTCTTCCTGCTTTTAGGCCACTACAGATGATACCAGTAACAACTGCATCAATTAAGATTGCGCTTCATTTCCCTTGACTTGTAAGACCCTATTTTCCACTGCTTACAGGTTTATCAAACTCCAAATCTCAAAGCCAGTTATTTCCAGTCTGCTTTAGACTAAACTGGTTTGAAAAAGTTCAGCTAAGATGTCTATTTCTTGTACAAGAAGCTTGAGACTTCTTCTTAGTTCTGCTGATGTTAACGAGCAGCATCTCCATATTGCAGAGATGAGTAATTTAGCCAGAGCACCAGCTTAGCAGCGTGTGCCTCTTGACTTCACACTTAAAGCCTGCCCAGATCCACTCAAGTTAAAATTCCTTTTTTTGCAGACATTTAATATAGACTTACTAAGACTTATCAGAATTTCCAGAAAATTCACCTGTTTGTCTAGAGCACGCTCCATAGAGCTGCAAAAAGCCAGAGGGAAGATCAGCAGGAGCGGTACTAACAAATGCTAGAAGAATGGGATTTTTAACTGCTGGAATACAAAGGAATCAGCAAGGGCCCCAAAGTCCCCGATCTCAGTGCACCTTCACATTCTCCCAAATCATAGTGGAAACTGCTGATAAAGTATATGACTGCTAAAGGCTGATGTGTCTGAACAGCAGCTACGTTCCAGTGTTATTTACCCGACAAGTTCAAAAAAGCAGAGGACTACAAGCTATATGCATTAGCACCCCGATCGTGTCGGCAGCTCAATTGTTTACGCAAGGCAGAGTCAACACAATTCCACACACTGAAATTTTAATTATTTCAGTTTAACTTCCTCAAAATGCTGGAAACGACCTTCATAAACATGTGCGTGTCAACATGCTCAAATAAATATGTCAACATAATACAAAAGGAGGCAGCACAACTTCAGCACAGCCTCTGGGAGGCTTACAATTTGGTGGTCTTCTCAATCAAATACAAAGTTCAAAATGATCATCAAGAATTCTTCTGTAGCAGCAACGGCTCTGGTTTTGCCTGGGGTAGAATTAGTTTTCTTCACACATAGGGCTGTGTTTTGGATTCGTGCTGAAACCGAAGTTGATAGCACAGGAATGTTTTACTGAGAGCTCAGCAGGGCTTACACAGAGCCAACACGTTTTCTGCTCCTCACCCTGTCCCACCAGCGAGTGGCGGGAGGTGCCTTTATCTCAATGCACTTTTACTCTTCTGATTCTCTCCCCCATCCCACACTGGGGAGTGACAGAGCAGCTGGAGGGTGCCTGGTTAACTGCTGAGGTTAAATCACAACAACAGATAATACATTACTCTCTTAAATATTCAAA